GGGTCCCAAAGCCGCCTTAATAACTATTGTTTTCCCAGAAACACTAAACATGGACAAGACTTTAGCATACATGCATGACACAAAAGTGCAGTAAACAGAAGTGGCAAGACAACCTTCAGCTATCGTGTGACTTTAGAGAAGCGCTGACAAACCGTGAGAAAGCATTTCCAAAAGTTAAGACGAACTATTAGTATTACGTTGTTTGTCCCTCCCTCTCATTTGGCCAGAGGTTACAACGTAAAAATACACTGTCTGTTGGTATCACGACCGATTGTTTACGTTTGACTACCGGGGATTACGCCCGAAATTCAATTATCCAACAAAACAAAGCACCTGCTTTTGGCGCTCGTTTGCGGAGAATTTATGTAAATTTAAATTTATTCAGTTCTTAAGGCCATTGGCCCCCATCACATCATATAAAACACGCATTTGTTAAATAAAGTTTCCATAATGACTAGGTACGCATTGTGTACAGATCTCTTGTCATGGGTTTCTTTTGCTGACTTAAGGATGTTTTCATTGAACTATGTGATGGCATTGTTTATGTTTTTGTCGAAGACTGCGATGTTCTTTGTCAGCTCATTAGTTCTTATGCTGAAAAGTCTACAGTCTGCCTTTTTGTAGTTCCATCTCGGCCTTTTCGGGCTGTCCTCTTGCAGGCTCTCTACTATGGTAAGAAGAACAGGGCTTCCACTTTTCTGCTTAGATGTCTGTGCAAGTTTTTTGTGCAGAGTGCTATGTCTGGAGTCGTAGTCTTGTCATGGGTCAAACAATGCATATTATTATGTCTGTCACTGGGTCGAGTCAGGCTGGGAGGAATAAAATTTTTTTGGAGAATGTCCTAAGCTGTAGAGACTGATGGAACAAGCACGGGAGGTCAGAGAGGTGCCATTGCCGACTTCTTCACTATCGCTGAGGGATTTCCTGATTTGTGTCGCGCAGTTTCCCGCCCAAGACAACTGCTGTCATTTCAGCATTCTTTTTTCTGTTTTTTTTTAAATTTTATTTTATATAAATAAACAAACAAACAAAATCATATACACAAAAATGACGTAAGCAACTCTCCTACTTTTTGGACCCTCCTTTTTCGGACGACTTGAAGGCGCCACTATCAGGTCCTACAGCTGTATAAATCTCCATGCTGTTTTATATCTTTGCCGAGTTTTTCCCAACAGGAAATGAGTTTGTCGTGTCCGTGGGCGAGTTTTTTTTCTCTCTGGTTCAAGAGGTTGAGGTGTTTGCCTCTCATTCCCGGGTTCAAAACCTGACAGTGACGGCCCCCTTTCGTCTCCTTTTCTGCTCTCTAACCATGTTTGTCGTCTGCTTTCGTCTCCGATTTCTACCTCCACCCCTTCCCCTCTTTGCCCCCCCCCCCCCTCCTCTGGGCATCTGACTCTTTATGCATCCTATCTACTGCTACTCCTTGGCTCCTTCTTACTGCTGCCTTTCAGCCACACCCTTGATCTTAAGGTAGGTAAGATCTAACATCTAGCCTTCTCGGAAAAGGGCGTAAAATCTTAGAGGTCCCCGTGTACAAGATGCGCAAATCGTTCAAGATCCATTGATGATTGTCCAAAAACAGTAAGAGTAGGCTTCGGCCGCCACTCGGGCAAAATTCAAAATTGATTCCTACCAAACTGGAAATGTTTAATGTGTCCTGTGCGCTCACATGACCTTTTGCAGTTGCGAAGGCCGTAAAACATTTACCCTCCAAAAAGAAAAAAAGATTCTTCCTATTGCAGTGTCCTCTGCGGCGGCCATGGGCCCTAACCTTCTCTTACGGCCGAGCGCTGCAAGCTTCCGTCCTACTGGCCTGGGGAGGCAAGGACGAGAGCATCAAAGCAGCCCAGGAACAGCTTCTCAAAAGGGCAAAGGTCAATAGAGATGTATTTATTTATGATTATGACTTGTTGTACGCTTTTCCATCGTACATTAATTTGTTCTGTTGCGAAACACGCTAGGCAATGTGGAGATAATATATAATACTTTTTTTAAAAAGATAACTGGTTACGGATACAAATTCTAGTTTTCTTTTATTCGCTATCTTTTCTTAGATTTATTTTTAGATACATGGTGATAAAAAACAACAACTGCAGAACTTCTTTTGTAAATATTTTCCTTCACACTGAAGTTTTGCGTTTCAAATTTGTACACAACTTTTGAAAGCCAAAAGGAATTTGTCTAGTATTCATTTTAGATCCATCCACAGGACAGTTTTGCTCTACAGAGCTGTAAATAAAGCAACCCATTTTCAGCTATATCCCTATTTTGGTAGAATGACGCACTAGTTTGCATTAAGCATACCACTAAAAAGTCCCAACGATTGGGCCACATTATTATTGCAAACTACAGTAGTCTAACAGGCCAACAGAAGTTTGCAGATAGTTTTTCTCAGGTTTCCTTTGCCTGCTGAGACCATGGTTAAGATTAGTAGAGAGCAGAGATATTTTTGTATCGAACATTTCCTCACCACCAACTCGTTTCGTAAGTTGTGCACAAGGAACGGGAATAATGTTAAAGTGCCCTTGAGGACTTCTTTTATGTCAAGGGTGAAAATGGTCCATCCGTTAAGACCAGTACAGAATCTGAAATAAAAATTCCTATACAAAGCGACCACTTCAGGTTAAACACACATCGTTCGTACCCCTTTAAACGTCACCAGGGTGCAGAATTCAGTTGATCAGTTGATGAGTCCCATGACACGTCTTTCCGTAGACGATGTCTGCTGCAATGACTTTCCTACTTTTCAACGGTCCGCATTCTCAAGGCAGATAGTCATCTACGACTGTACCATTTTCCCGTTTGCGAAGCTATCAGAGGATAGCAATGTGTTCATGATTCCTCGATCGTCTTGAAAAGGGTGAACATAGATTCCTCTTTGACATTTGGTTCCTTGATAAAGCCCATATACTCCTTTCAGGTTATATAAACTCCATAAATGCTATTTCGGCAGCCTCATACTCCCCCCCCCCCCCCCCCGGATTGCCCCTAGAAACAACTCCATACTGTAAGGTGTACAGTGTATTAGGTGGCTTTGACTACTCATGATTGGGTGGGTCCTTGTGTTTTGCCTACACTGAACATTACGAACGACGCGTTAAGTAAATGTATCGAGTCCAAAGGAGGACATATAGTCCATTTGTTCTTCGCAATTTCAGAATTTTGAAAATGTCTTTTAAAACTCTGTAGGAGAAAAGAGGTTACAGGACTGGAAAGATTAAAATCGATTTTAAAAAGAAAAGAAAAGGGGGAAAAAATCCCAATCATTCCATTACTTTCTTTACAAGATCTTTCAAATTTGTACATTCTGCATTTATATGTGGTTTTTATAAAAGCCATTTCTGTTTTCGAAAATAAGTTTTTTCTTTGTGAATTTCATGCCAAACAAAAAATTCCCTTTTAATGAATATTAATTATCTATTCCAAATTGCAACATTCTAGTACAAATTTTGTTCCAGATATTCAGAAAAAAGGTTGTACAGTTTGTTTGTTTTTTATCACCCTGTATGTCCTGGTGTTTTTTAACCGGTTTATTTTTTCGATGTGCATGTCTGTTAGGTTGAAGGGCTATATGGGCATGGGGACATGCAATCGTGACCATGCAACGGCCCCTCTGATTACAATACGGCACGATACTGAGATAAGGCTGGCCCACTGATCTAAACCATGCTTGTATTCAAAAACGTTCCGTGCTTTTGACGAAAAAAAAATAGAAGAGTGGCTGGGCCAGGGGAAATTTCAGGACGTAACCTACTTACTGGGTCAAACGGCGTGGTGCGTCACTGATCGGTTTTATGGTTCGATCGGCAGCTCCGTGTGCTGAAATGGATTGATTGATTCATTTCTGTAAGCGGTAGACAAACTATTTCTCTTTCAGAGTGACAATATAACGACTGTGGCGTGATTGTTAGCTAACGCTCTCCATCGTTATATAACAATATATATATATATATAATATATATATATATATATATATATATATATATATATATATATATATATATATATATATATATATATATTATATTTGTGGAAGTTCGTCACTTTGGCCGCCTAAAACTTCCGAACCGCTTAACTTTCGAATTTGGCAAAATTAATGGTGGTTCAAATCATTTAAAGGGTGCACAGTTTCATTGAGGAGCCTGGAGTCACTGTGGTTTGATTTTCAGTTTTTCACTAGTTTCGTTTAGATCTAATCTTGGGAAAGTCCGTCTTCTAAGACGCCATTGTAAACTAGTGAGGTTTCCGTTCACTAGCCGTGCGCACAAAATCCACACCTTTAAAATTCTGGAGTGTACAACCACAAAAGCGGAATAAAGAGTCAATCTATACATCTATTATATATTTTGCAACTTGGAAACACACGTGTCACTTTTATCTCAAAATTTATTGCTCCATTCCAATAGAGTGTAAATATAGTAAGCCAATGCCTTTCAGTTGATGTTAATGCTCCGATCATTCCTTTCCTCGAAAAGAGGCCCAGCTATATATATAGCATACATGTATATATTGCGAGTTCGATTCCCACCGCGGGACGTCTTTAATAACCTCGGAATATTTTCGTCTTTATGTTAAGATGCTGTGTACTGTGTACTGTGTACCATTCAGCCAAGGTCAGCTGGAACATGACAGGCAGGGTCTAATCAGCCTACTCTTAAATGATTCGACTAACCGAAATTGTGTCAGTCGGAGCGGAAAGTATTTTGCAATTATTCACAACCATTACTATCTTTTGAAGCAACCATAATATGTTCTCTGCGTTGTTCAAATAACGCATGAACCTGAAAACAACCACACGCGGGTCGCGACGGGTCGGAAAGTGTCTTTTGAATGAGGCGCAGGTTTTAGATAACAAAGACAAGAACTTTCCGTTAAGTTGTTCTAGCCATTGCTGTTTTTGCCAATGTTACTTTCATTTACAGATGTGTATCCCGATATATTTTATGTAAATCTGATGTACACTTAATGATGCTCACCGACCCCTCCCCCCTCCTTTTCCCCCTAGATTTGCTCTCATTACGATACAGCTTTCGAAATGACTTATTTGTATCAAGCCAAACCTAAAACTGCCTTAAGATGCAGGTTATTTGTTATGATTACAAACATGATGTTTTGAAACATTCGAGGTTTTTTTTTAAGTGAGCCTATGTTTGACGTACTGAGTTTAGATTGTCTTAAGGAGTGTGCAAAGTGTGCAATTTTTGTTTACTTTTTTGGTTGGGGGGGGGGGGAGTTAAGGGGGCCACTGGTAGTTTGGTCCTTTTGCTTTTCTCTTCCTCTGTTGTCTCTGTTTGTCTATCTTGCTTCATCCCTTAACCCTATCCGTACGCCGTGTTTTACTATTGTATCCATAATACTTGGGGAACTCTGTGCCACCGCTTTCCAAAGAAGAAATTTACTTACTTGTTAATCCCATCCGCACGCTTTGCATAGCAGTCTGTACTAGAAGTACTCTAAAATGAGAAGAATACAACCCTGGGGGAGGGGGGGGGTGGTACAAAATGACTCCAGGGCGTACGGATAGGGTTAACAAAGTGACAATCCTTTCGTTGTTTGGTGTGCTTCTCTTTACTTGAACTAAACTGAACTACGTTAGTGGTATGCCCTCCGATCGCCTTTGATAACTTTTGTTCCGTTTTGGCTCTGTTCCACAGGCAAACGGTCTGGCGTCAGTCGGCGAGTACACCGGAGGAATGGCCGGAGTGGCTGGGGAAACGTCTCTGTTTGTTGCCAACCATGCCTACTGAGCTACAACAGAATAACATTGCATCTTGTGACTTCTTGCATCCCTTTTGGAACTCTTACAAATCTCCCACTCGATATCTTGGAAATATTAAACAGAGTCTACAGACTACACCTCTGTTAACTAAACGATGTCTTCAGACTCCAAAATATTACTTGGCGAGCCTTTAAACATGTTGATATACTTGCCGAATACAACGACTGATTAGCTCGCGCTGTATCTTTAAGTGGTTCTTCAATAAAAATGCAGAAAGGGAGAATGAGTTCATTGATTGCTTCTGAATAATGCACTTTTTAAAACATTTTTGCGTAGTGATTATAGATTAATATGCAATATTTCAAGTAAATATTGCAGATTAGAGATTGTGACAGTGAAGTTTGTAGCCCTGTGTTATTATGGTTTTAGTCTGTTTCTCTTCTCCCTGTTATATCCTTTTTCATGTTCTCGTCACCTTTCCCGAATGTGTTTTCTGCTGGTAGATATCTCAAAGGACAAAAACCTTCAGTGGTGAAATACTATATGAGATCATCTTTCCTCAATCCCCACGTAGCGTATTACTCTTTGATTGATTGATTGATTGATTGATTGATTGATTGATTGATTGGTGCCGGTTGGCATTATTGTCATATGTATGAGTCGCTCGACTTAAAAGTCTGTATCATTAATTCGGGGGATAAAGCATGGCTTATAAACCCATTCTGCACATTATTTTTTAGAAGATATAGAGAAAGTTTCAGGGAGGCAATAATATTGTAACCGTCAAATTACATTACATTAGGTCACGAGTCCATTGGGTCTGACTTTTTTACGCTGTTTTTATTAATTAGACTTAGGCAATGCGTTATCAACCGTTGTAGAGTTAGACTTTATACAATCTGCATCTGCTCGGCTTGTGCCAAAGAAAATAAGCGTACGAGTTAATAATGGTAGCTGACGACGAATTAGTCCTTGGCCTACTGATTAAAAGCAAAAGTGCAGTGGTAAAGTGTAGCTGGAGCAACAACAAGTCCTTGAGTTAAATATAGATCTACAATCTACCTGGTGCAGGGGCGAAGCGTCAACATAACCAAATAATCACTGCTTCCTTTTCGTAGTTTGGGAACAACACATCGTCGCCATCAAATACACCCGTAGACGTAGGCCTTATATAATATAAATTTAAGCGTAATTTTGTGTATATACAACTCTGAAAACTTGTTTCTTTGCAACATGAATATCCCGTTCACCCCTTTCGGGCCACTCTCATAATAGCAGTCACAAGCACTGGAAGCACTTGTTATAATATTAGCTAACAATGTATTGGTATAGTCTACCAAAGATCGTACATAGAAAAAATAGTTCACTTCTAATAATCTAGTGGCTGCTGTGAGTGTTTGGGTTTTTTTCCCTCGATTTTTACCACTCAACTCTATAATCAGGTTGTGATTTGATTTCCTGGCCTCTAAAAACTGCACAAAGACAACCAACTTTGAAACCATTGCTCATATATAATTTATAGTCATCTCTGCTTCTTTGCCTTTTGTTTGTGCATTCAGATTTTTGTTAAAATTTACTGTTTAAAAATCTAGAGACCGTTTATTCTTCGTGCGTTTAAAAGTTATAATTCCGTTTTACCCAAAGTGGCAATAAAATTATTTAATGAGATATTTTCTCGAGTATTTTGGAGGGTGACTTAATATTAATATAGTAATAATAATAAATGAATTCAGGATTTGTTTTCATTCACAACTAAGTGACTCTGCCTCGAATTGGAAATTGTATTAATTATGCTTCTATTGTGCGAAAGTTTAGCGTATGTGGCCCCATATCTACCTTACCTGGTTCTTTGTCTCACTCTGATTACTCTTTCAAACAAGTCAGCCATCGCCCCTGACCTGACGCTTTTTAAACTCACATTTTTATGCACCGTAACGGACGGCTGGCCCCCAGAACTCCAGTACTGAGAGCTATATTTATTAAAAGGCGATAAGGCGATCCTTTTCCTCATCAACACTTATTATTATCTATCTCCTAAGCGTTTTGATTCCCATCTGAAAAAGTAGGCGAACTTTGTTACCTCTAAAGTGTCTACGGCTGCGCC